GTTCATAAACTCTAACCGTTAAACTCGAGTTAATATTTTAACGTGAACATAGTATTAGGGCCAATTTCAAATGAATATTTAAACGGCACACTAAACCCAATATTTTCATGAAATTCACGTTTTTTTGCCCCTATCTCGTAAATAACACTAGATACAGAAAAATTGCAATTTTCGAACTTGTAGGTCTTTCAATTTCCTACAAGTCGCTAATATCTCTGTTTCTTGAGATATTAGGCTTTGAAATTGAGGTAGTGTGGAATTTTCATTGATTAAGCTAGGAAATTGAAAGACCTACAATTTCGTGAGATGCAATTATTCTGTACCTCTTGTTATTTGCGAGATAGAGGCAAAAGAGGAATTTTATGAAAATATTGGGTCTAGTGACCCGCACTAACGCGCGGGTGGGAGTGCCGCACTGGGCACTGCTATTTTTGTATTACATACATACCGTTTCCTCTTATTTAGTTTTGCTTTCTTTTAATGCAGTTTAAGTTTCAGATTTTGAATATTATAAGTCGAATAATATGCGATGATTACACTGTAAGTTTTCCCGAAGAAAAAAATGTTGCACTAGGTTTAAGAGAAACTCTGCATTTGGAGAAAAGTAACGGAAACTGCGGCAAATGTAATTGTTCCGTAGCTGAAACTGTAAAAAAAAAGCTGCCACACAGTTTGTATTTGGGGAGTGTTTGGAAAACCAATCATAGTATGCTATGGATTGCTTGATTTTGTATGGTTACCTCAAAACAATCATGATAGTAAACCATAACAAGCTCTCCCACTGAATATGGCACTTACATTAACCCTCAAGCAGGCGAATTTTTTTGGTGAGGCCTAGGATGGCGAAAAAAATTTTTACAAACTAATTTTGCATCGAGAAAAACGAAAATGAGATCATTTTTCACCTTAGGCAAATATTTAATCAGCTGAAGTGAAAAAACCGTTACACCGCTTCTAAGCGGTGTTGCCTGGTAGAGGAAAGAATTGGCACTGAAGAGGAAATATACAATAAACATGAAAATATCAGTTAGAGGAAAGTTTATTTCTTATGAAACTGTACAAAACAATTTCTGTCTTTAAGCAAGCAAAGATTTAAGTTACATTTCATGCATGTTACCTGTGTTTTATATTTACAACCAGGTAATTTACATTTTCGTTTTCCTTTCACGTCCTTTACGTTTGGCCAATGGTCATACTGATCAAATCGTATTTCTGGCGGTGGTAGATATGTCTTAGTTCTACCAGCACAACTACGAACTACGTCTTTTGGTGGTCGGCCAACAGGATTTCTTTCCTGCGGCGGCTGAAAAGTAGTAAGGACATCACCGACAAGGAATCTGAAATCAGGAAGCTCGACATGTTCATGATCCGTGTCATCCTTGTGTATTCGGCGATACAATAAGTACGAATTAACCACAGTCATATCGATGAAATGGTAAAATAAGCGATGCGAGTAGCTACATGTTTTTAGCCGAATCCTGTACCTCCCCAGTAGTCCATCCATAGTATCAACTCCACCCATATGCGCATTATATTCTGGGGAATAATGTAATTAGAAAAAATAAGGAGACAACTGACATATATAAGACAATGAAAACTACCATTTATAATATGCGGACAGTCGACTTCAAGATAATTCTTGTCTTTGCGGTCATATCTGATAGCTTTTGCAAGTTGCATTTGTCCATCGTTAGCCTTAGAAAATGGGAGATTACCAACGTATGTAGAAGCTAGGCATACGTTTTTTGTGTCTTTCCATTGTATAGTGGTCATGTCAACTCCGTACGCGCTACCGACGTATTCGATCACTTCACCACGTTTCATTTTTGACTCTTTGTCACTTGGCAATTTACAATTGGGGATTCTTTCACGTTTGATAGTTCCAAGGGAATATATACCTTTGCTCTTCAATAAGACCAGCAACGGTAGTGAAGTATAAAAATTATCAAAATAAATTATATGATTCACCATAGCTGGAACCGTTGCCGCTAGTCGGACAACAACATTAGACGTAGCTCCTAAATTTGGAAAAGCTCAAATCTGTACGCGTAACCATCAGAATCGCATGGAACGAATAATTTCATTCCCCATTTGTGTGGCTTCTTAGGCAGATATTGTCGAAAACGTGAATGCATCTTAGTAGCACACATTTGCTCATCTACACACAAACGTGGCTTTTTCGGAACCATAGCAAAGCGTTGATTTAGATGACCAATAATTGGACGAATGTTGAATTGTGTATCATAACCTGGCTCTCCCACTTTCTTCATATTAGACAAATCATTAAAACATAGGTATCTTCTAATTTCATAGAAACGTTTTGATGACATCGTTTGCTTGACTGGGGTTACCGCATGACGACCCCAATAGCGCTCAGCAGACGGCATTCGAATTACAGACATATATATCAGGATTCCTACAAATTTGCGCATTTCCGAAGTCGTAACACAAAAAGAGCTGCCAATATTTTGTCTTTTAGCATTCAGGTTTGTATAATGAACAATAGAATCAAAAATTTCGTCAGTGAAGAAAAACGCAAAACACTTATATGGAGTGTCCAAGCATGCTATTTCGTCGGGTAGTGAAAAATCACCGAGAAATGCAATTTCATTTACATGCTTCTGCATGTTTCCCTTACGCCACAAAATATTTTTTAATTCAATCGATTGAGTGTCTATCTCCATAGCACTACCAACAAAACCAATAGCATTTGTTTGAAATTGTGGACCTTCTGCATCGTATTGTGGTAGTGGAGATCTTGGCCGTTTCACAGGTTTTTTTGACAGACGAACTACTGTTGCTGTTATTCTTTCTCTTTCAATTCCTGTTGTTGATGCCGATTGCTGTACTGATGATGTAGATGGTAGTTCTTCTGA